ATGACTTCAAAATAAATTATATGACTAATTAATTTTATGCATTTGAATTGAATAGGGTAAGTCAGACTTGAAATATCTCAATAGAATAGAAAATCTGTTGGAAACTGTAGATGTTTCCACAAGAACAGACTAGACTAACTGTAGCTTCAATTTTAGGTATTTATTTCAAAAGAAAAGTAGAAGTTAAGCCCAAGTAAATGAAATTTGAAGGTTTAAATCTCCATCTTAAAAAATGGAAACCAATAGTTACAGTCGTGGCTTTGACAGTTAAGTATTAACAATCTGAGCACTCTGGTTAGTTCTTTGGCTGTTGATTAGGATTCTGTGGTGGTGATTAGTGAGTGTGAGGATGCAGTCACATCTGTAGGGTTTAATCAGTCCAGTTAGAGAGAGAAGTTAGTCCAAAGATGGAGAGAGAAATTAGAACTTCTGTATGTAATCCTAGTGGGGTTTTTCCCCATGCTGCAAAAAGATTAAGGGTAAAATGTAGAGAAGCCTACCATTTATTTTATTCTCCCCCCCCCGGAGTTTGCAGGGTTTGTAAATGATAGTATTGATTTGCTAGTTCCATAATGCAGGAGTATAATGTTGTTGACACCTGTGAGGGGAAGAGAAGATGCATGGTGGTATTCACATATGCGCTCTTTCTGAGGTTCAGTATTTCATTCTTACAGTTGTGAGCAGTATTTGTTTTTCCATAGTGTGCAACCACGTATCTAGTTTTCATTTTTGTAAATCTAGTATTTTAAGTGTTTAGCTTGGACGTATACAATATTTTGGTGTGCTTTATTTTCTTCTATTATACATTCTGGTTATATGCTGTCATTTTAACATTTAAAGCATTTCTCTTGAAAAAATTATTTACAAATACGAACATTTTGCCCTCTGCACTCCTGTGAAGCAGATAAGTGAATGTTTACGTGTGTAGAAACAAAGAACCGCGGTGGGTACCCTTGTCTACAAAGGAAACCCCCAAAAGAAAAACTTTTGGATCTCTGCTCAGCGCATAGCTTCTCTGTGACCTTTCTGACTCTGGCTTTGAGTAAAGGTGACCATGTGCTGAATCCCCCTTTAGAATCGTCTCCGCTGGTACGTTCTTAACTTGGAGGAGAAATGCTGTTGTTACTGCCTGGCGGTGCAAGCAATCCTCCCATTACCACCCTTCAGTTCACTGGTACTGCTATCACACCCTTTCTCTTCTCTACTGCGTAGAGCTCAGTTTGTGTAAATAGCGTTGCCCGCACCAGTGCAAGTTTGTATACTGTTTTGTTGGCATTAATTTCTTCCACATTGTCATTTAATAATCGGTTTCTTTATTCACACTTCTGTTTGATTTTTTTTTTTTTTTTGTTTACGTTATTTTCCAGTAGCACCTCTAGATCTGTACTCTACTGTCATAAATTCATGTAAGGAGAAGGTTGTTCCTACCCTGCAAAGCTTATTATCTAACAACAGCAATCATGTTTTAAAGGAAAGTTTTCTGGGAGCATGTTGCTACGCAGATTATAATGTTTTGTTTTAATGGCAGGGGCCATCCATTTTATGTATACTTATGCAGTGCCTAACAGAGTAGGTATGAGTGAGCTTTGAAGTGTCTCAGTAAAAATAATGACGAGCAGTGGTAGATACTTACATGAACCTGTAGAAGGGTTAGGAAATTTTTGTGGCTTTTATTTAGAACATGGGCTCTAAATGGCTGGAGTACCTTCCTGAACAGAGCATCAGTCTGGAGAGGACAAAAAAAAAAAAAGGGAAGAAACTGTCTTCAAGGTCCAAGTCAGTGGTTCTTGAGACAGTAATGGATGAGAAATAGGCTAGAGATTCAAAGTAAAATATAAACCAGAATTTGACTCAGAATGCTGGTTTGAAAAATAGGAGACAGAACTGTATTTGAAAGATAGGACAGAATTAAGCCAAAAAGAAAACCCCAAGCCAAAACCAGAAATTAGTTAGGAACATCCAAGGAGTAGGATAGTAAAATGCCAAATGTTTTCCAAAGGACTAAGTATCTCTCTCTTCCCGTTAACTGGCCCCTACTTCTAAGCTTATATCGTGTGTTACAGAAAACAGTTGTATACCAATTCTTTTTTTCCATTTTGTTGATGTTTGGTTCAGTTGACTTTCGCCTCTGAAGGAAGCAAAAAATCAGTGGGACTATAATAACTGTATTTTATATATCTCTGAACAGGATGCTGCTATTGCCTTTCTGGCTGAAGGGTTCTATAGCCCAGAATATCTAACATATCTTTTAAATAAACTATGTAATGTTATATCATATTAGAATCAATAGTAGTACATTGTTGTAGACATACAAGACAAGGTTTATAGGGAAAAGAATAATCTTTTATTTAGGCAACTGTTTGTAGCTTAAAAAGGGCCCAAAACCATAAATAAGCTTTTGAACACACAAGCTCTTCTTAACTAGTGTCACTAACGATAGCAATTTTTCCTGAATAGTGATGATACTAATTATTTTGAAGAAAGGCAAAAGGGAGGACAGAAGAAATGCATCTACTTCATAGCTCTATGGGTAGTATTTACATGTACAGTTCTTACCTCCAGAATTCATTCATTGTAATGTTAAATCATGAAGTCATAAAAGACTGTCAGTGCATTTAAGGAGTGATAAGTTTGTAAGCAGAACGCAAGTGGACTGAAATAGTGTAGCACCAACTGCTGATACAGATTTCAGCAAGGCGCAGTGACCTGCATAATCTGGCCCAGTATCAGTCTGTATTTGAGTGCCCAGAATGTCTGCCCCACTCAGCAGTCATTAGCAGCTGAGCCACAAGCACCGCTGTAAATATCAGCACAATAAATTTACACCAGCTACAGTGTTCAGGTGCACTTTTTTTTCTTTCAGCCATGCCATAACCATGCCACACTCTTAAGTATATGTAGTTCTGTGTTCACTCTTCACTCTATATGCAACACAACACCCTGAGAGAGCGGTAGAGTTTGTAAACCCATCTTGAAGGCCAAAGAGATGAGGCTGAATTCATGCAAAATTTCCTATCTGTTGTTTCCAGGAAAAAACCCAAAATGATAAATCAGCGTTACTAAATATCCGAGTATCTAAAGTTAATAAAGTTATCTAAATAATTTCATAGTCCGCATAGCTGTAGTAATGTGTTTGGGTTTTTTTCCCTACTAACATGAAGAAAATAATACTTGAGCTAATCTACTACTTTGGAAAAATAAAACATTAGGTGGAAAGATGCTGAGCATCAGTGCCTGGCAAAGAAAAGCTAAGTACACCAGCTTTGCTGTGAAATTTCAGGAATCTTCCTTCTAGCCTTGACTGCCAGACTGTTGCTGAAGAAAAGCTTAAACATCCTCCCTCCCTTGTGCATATTATTACATGCCTCTGGAACTTTTTTCTTCTGCTCTGTTATTCTCTTTCTTTGTAAGCTTTCATGAAAAGAAAGGGAATAGATTATAATAATATTGTAGCACCAATGCTATTGTGTTTGCAGTAGCCTTAGCCCAAGATAATGTTTTGATTAGCATGGCTTTTTCACTTACCGGAATTAAAGATACATGGATTTTCCTGGGATTCTGTGCTTTCAGGATGATTTTTTTTCACCTTCTTTCTTCAGCTGTATGTCTTTACAGAGAAGTTGGAGGTTTAAAATAGGTATAGAGCCTTCAGTAATAGCCAAGGGCAAAAAATTAGTGCAATGAGTCATCACAGCCACTCCTGCAGATATTTGTAATCTGTGAGTCCTATGCAACGCGTTTGTTCAAAAGGGCCATTGTTCCTTAAATCACTGATGATAGTTCTTCTAAAATTTAAGGGTTTTTTTCCTGCAGTGTAGTTGCTGTAAATGAGATTTGACATTTCCAATTTTGATATTTGAATGGCCTCAAGGAGGCTTTGAAGAATTTGACACACAGAATATGAAACGCTTAATGAGAGTATTAAAGATAAACTAATAGTTCATAGTGCAGTGAAGAAGCAGAGTAATTTAGCAGATTCTAGCAATCCAAATCATTTTAATAGTGTTGAATTACCAACAAAAAAAAAGTTTTATTGCTTTAATTAAATTGTTGATAGAGGTATATTTTCTAAAATATTAAAACTTTTCCTCCCTTTCTTTTATAGCTTCTTTTGCTTCTAGCTATATAACACCCGGAAGTTGTGTATCTTGGCAGTAGGAATAACAGATAAGCAGAGCTATTCCCTTTGCCAGAGGGTGTAAAATCTTGTTCCCACTGAGGTTAGTGAGAATTTTGCTCTCAGCCTCAGGCCTTGAATCAAAAAAGCACCTTTTAGTGCAGCTGGTTTTGAGTTTTCTAACAGAAGCAATTATTGTGACTTCTCAGGGACATCTATATCACACTTGGAATCTTACAGATTGTTTAAAGGGGGGCGGGGAAGAAGATACTTTCCTGAGTCAATTCAGACATTACAAAAATGGAACAAAATCTTTTTGATATAGAAGTTTGTTTATTCCCCTTTATGCTTCAGTCCATTTTGCAGGAAGACTTGGCGTCGTTCATATATTTGTCGTTTGACTCATAACATTTTTAATCTTCTTAGCAGTAGGAAAATAAAAAACTATTTTTAGCTTATAAAGTAGAAGTAGTTTCAGATGTGTCTGTTGCTAGAATTTGATTGTGGTCTGTTAAACTTTTATTGCTCCTAATTTTCTATTTCTAAATATATATTCTTAAATGTGAAAATACACTACCCAGAGAGAATGAGTAATATCCAACCTCATTTTCATTTCCTGGCTTCCAATCTATATTAATTTTCTAGTTGATGGACTTTTGAAAATGGTTACTTTTTTGTTTTGAATATATGAATGATTTCCAGCTTATTTCTCTGCTTCGATAATTGTAAAGGAGACTTCAATTTTGTGATCTTGATTTCAGTTTTGCAGATGATATTCATGCTGATGGTTTATCACAGCAGTGTGTCTTCTCTCTAATGCAGACAATAATAAATACAGCTTTGGCTTGAGGAAAGCTTTTTTTTTTTTTTTTTGTCTCTGTAGAAATACTGCAGCACAGTCCAGCTTGATTCTGGAATAGACTACAGGAAACGAGTGCTTCCTGCTGCTGGAAAACTCTACTACCTGTAAGTTTATCTATGATACAGTATTTGCCCTCCTTTTCCTTCTTATTAGCCAATAATTTCCTAGTCAATGGGAAATTAAAAATGTATAGTAGAATTAGCAGAGTGTGACTTTTTCTTTCTCTGCCTTCTGGTGCATTTTGTTCAGCAAACCGCCTTCCATTATGCCTTGATATTAACTTCATTAAACTACACTTTCAGTATCCACACTAGCATCATTTATAATGTGTGACTGAATAAAAACTAATTAGATTTTTTGGGGAGGTGTGGTGTTTGGAGGACTGAAGTGACAGATGGTTAGAAAGTAATGAATATCCTCTTGTAAGAGATTGCACAATTCTCTTATAATAGAAGAACATCCTTATTGTATTTAAGTAATTAAGTATTTATAGAAATCCAATGACAAGGATTCATTTAACGTTGGGTATTTCCAGTGCTGTGGATTAAAAAAACCCAACACCCTCCTATTTTGACAGATTGTTTCTGTTTATCATGACAAAATTTCTTTAGCACTTTATTCTATATTTGCAAATAAATATATTAAAAATACGTTCACAGTTGTGCTTATGGTTACAGCATATATCTGCGTAATAGATACATCCTCTCTTTTTTTTTAAATACTTTGAAACCTTTGCATTGCAGACATTTTTCTATCTCGTATTTGCTCTTATAATATTATTTAATCAATGACAACCTGAGCAAGGCAGACAACAATAACTTAAAATGAGATTTATAACCATTTTATCTTTCAACCCAACACACAATATTGATTTAAATATCATGTTTCCATTGAGAAAGGTGCAGTATTTTCATCGATGTGACAGATATTTGAAACTAAGTATGTCCATATCACTTTGTGAAGTTAGAAATAGTAGTTGTTTGTCTGGAAGGAGGAGTACTGTTTAGTAGAATTACAACAGGTAATTCTTTCTGCTTCTGGAAGGAAATGACAGAATTTTATATATGAAAAATGGGTTAAATGCAGGTTCTGTATCTGTACTCAAGAAAAGTAACTCTTGTTCTATGTTCTTGTCTGGCTCCACTTTCTTTTATGTTTTGCGGTGTTCACTTGGAAGTACCATTTGAAGCTGCCAGTTATCTCAGAATTGCTCATCGGGGCTCTTGTTCTGATGTCTACGTAGCTGTCCCTGCTTACGGCTCCGCTTATTGTGCCCGTTGCACTCTGTGACTTTCTGTTTGATAATTGTGGAGAGCACCTACCGTATTCTTTTCTCACTGTCCATACTCTGAAGAAAGGAAGAGCACGTATGTGGTTCCTAGGAGGTAATAGGCTAAACATGGTCCTATGGCATCAGCTCTCAGAGGAGAAGAAATACGAACAAGCCCCAGGAGTGGTACCCAGCCGAAGTATTTCATGGTGTTCTGCTGTAAAACTTGTGATCAAGTGAATGGCAGAGATTGGTGATAAGCCTGTCTTATGTTCTGTCATTGGAAGGATGTTGGTTACCCCTAGAACTTGTTGTGTAAATCATTAGGAAGCAGTGGGGCAAAAAAAAAAAAGAAAAAAATCCTGTAGCTGCCAATGGAAATAAGATACTTATTTCATCATTCTTTCTTTTTCTGAGGGAATCTCATTCCATCTTCTATTCAAGCTTGTTCATTGGTGCTTTCAACCCTGCAGAACTAACATAGTATGTGTGGATTTTTTTGGTTTGTTCTAAAATTAGGTACTATACAGTATTTTGCCACAGATTTTTGAAATTTATTTAGCAGTCTTGCCCCCAAAAGAAAATGTTCTTGTCCAACATGTTTACATTTCTCTATTAATGGTTATAGTACCATCATCACATTTTTTTAAAAATCCTCTTGATGCTTCATAATATGTGTAGTCTTTTCTTCATTTAAAATATGCAACTAAGGGTTGCGTAAAGCTGTTTCATATTCATCTGAAAGCAATCAGTGTAGCACAATTACAAGATTCCTGATCAAAGCAACTTCCTTGATCTCAGTCTCAGGTGTCTATTTTCAAAACAAACTTTCTTGGCAATTAGGTGCAAATATCCACCCAGGCATCATATTGGGCTGTTTCTTCTTGTGGCCGTTACATCAAACTTTTTGATAGTTATATGCATACACATGGGCATACTCTCAGATATACATGTGCTCTTTCCCCACTTTTGTGGCTTTTTTTCTGGTTTTGTCTGCTCCTTTTCGTTTGTCATTTTGTCAGAGGAAAGCAGCACAAATATCAATGTTGAGAGAGACTTTTTTTTTGAAGTTACAATTTTATGTAGTCTCCTATTCAGAAAAGGTGTTTTAAAGTGTTTGAAATGGCACTTCCAGAAGTTTGTGGGGTTTTTTTCTCTGAAATTCTTTGTATCTACAAGGTTTGCTATCATTAAGCTTGAGCTAAAAAGTGGTTATTTCAGTTCTGCTGTTAACGTTTTTAAGGTGCTTAAGGCCTAATGAACAGGAAAGTAATTGTGTAACATGCTGATCATCACTTGTCATTTAGAGGAGGTCTAGAACTGTGTGAAGCAATGCAACTACAGTGCATCCACAATCTATAAAAGTAGACTTTTCACACCAAATGAGATCATACGAACTTCAATGAAGCGTTCTATATCCTAGTTCTAGTTTATTGTCTACCATAGCATTAATTTACTATTCTCAGCTTTCAAACTCAGCTAGAAATATTATCTATCTTCTTAAAGAATGAAACACAGAAAGGTTGGCCCTCTAACCCATTCAGTGACAAAAAATATTCTCTAATCAGACTGATTTATAATTCTTGTGGCAACCAGAAGATGAATATAAACTTTACTTCAGCTCCCAGCACAGATATTTTGCATTGTCACTGTCTGTAGTTGATCTTTTCCCAAATAGTATTTGGGACAGAGGGGGGGAAATTGATAAAATTACTAATGCAGAGATAGTGCTGGTGTTTTGAATCTCATCGTTTAATTTTGCAAATTGTTTGATCAATACAGTCAGTTGACTTGATTCGCTCCCCCCCCCAAGCTGCTCCAATATTTAATTTCACAAAGTCCCCTCTCAGAAATTTCAAGGGACACTTCTTTAGGTGCTTGACTGCCTTGCCTTGTCTATTTGCTCTTATTTTGCATGCAAGATAGAGCCAGAAGCCTTTTTTCTCATTGTGTATACATAGTGTTAATGGATCTGCTCTGCCTGTATTGCCTCATTACTGGAAACAGCTCAAAACACAGAAGTCTTTCAGTGTATGCAAATAAGGCAGAATCATCTACCTGAGAGTTAATATTCTCTACTTTTAAGTGTATTCTAAATCTAATGTTTGTATTTAGAGCATAACATCCTGTTCTCTCTTTTATGGGCAAAAAGCTAAGCAGGCTCAGGCAGCTGTTTGATGTTGGCTTCAAGTGTTATTAATTTCATATTCTATTATTCTTTTCACTGTAGCACAAGTGAAGCTGATGTGGAGGCTGTCATGGATAAGTTGTTTGATGAGCTGGCTCAGAAACAAAATGATTGTACGTAAGTTAATTTCTCTTGAAAGAGAATACATTTAGAACACAATGCCCAATCTCCACTGACCAATTAATAAGTTCCATTGCTGTATATGGGTTGATGCCACACTCAAGTGGCAGTCATTGTATCAGCATTTTGTCTAATTTATGTGTTGAATCATGTGCTATTATTCATCAAGCTATGCATTTCCTATCTGTAAGAGATGAATTTTATAGTAATTATCCAGAGAAGATTGAGTCTTTGTTCATGTTCCCATAGTAACTAGACCAAGGATTCTAAAAGTGCAAGGCAGAGAGCTGAAGCTGAATAAAGCGTGTGGAACCATTGCAGACTTCACGTTTGAAGAGCTGTGCGACAGAGTGAGTACCCAGACAAATCTAGATCAGTTAACGCTCAGACTTTTCACAGTTTCAAAAAAAAAACCAAAAAAAACATTGCTGTATATGGGTTGATGCCACACTCAAGTGGCAGTCATTGTATCAGCATTTTGTCTAATTTATGTGTTGAATCATGTGCTATTATTCATCAAGCTATGCATTTCCTATCTGTAAGAGATGAATTTTATAGTAATTATCCAGAGAAGATTGAGTCTTTGTTCATGTTCCCATAGTAACTAGACCAAGGATTCTAAAAGTGCAAGGCAGAGAGCTGAAGCTGAATAAAGCGTGTGGAACCATTGCAGACTTCACGTTTGAAGAGCTGTGCGACAGAGTGAGTACCCAGACAAATCTAGATCAGTTAACGCTCAGACTTTTCACAGTTTCAAAAAAAAAAACCAAACCCCAAATACAAAAACTCGCTATTTTCCCAAGTCGTACTAAAATAAAAGGGCTTTTTTTAACTTGGCAGAAAGATTTTGAATTTAACAGAAAAAAAAAAAAGAACTCCCCAAAAGAACAATAATAATTTTCTTTTTAATGATACAGTAAATTCACTCTTAAGTATATCACAGATTGTCTTCAAAACTCCTAATACAGTATGTGCCTGGGCTAACATCGTTGCTGGAATATTAGTAGTCACAACATACCAATATGTAAATAGCATTCAAATACTGTTTTTAAAATCTGGGGTTTAAGTTGATACTCAAGCAAAAGAGGAGTAATCCTGGCACCGCTAGGGTAAAGCTGTTGTTGCGTGCCTTAGTTGTGACTAGCTGTACGAGGGCTGTTTAGTCCCAGGCCTTCTCAAAATTTGACAGATTTTGCTAAATACAGCCAAAGTCCCTGCTAAACATGTGGGGTGTGATTCCTGAAAAGCTCTCTTTGTATGTGACCGCCAGTGGGTTTGAAGACAGTCCCCCGGAAGTTGCATTGTACTTCAGTGACCTCTCTGCTGACACCTGAAGTTATTGTTAAATGATCACAACTCTAAACTGGGCCAATAGCACCTTTGATTCAGGATGCTGACCAGTCCTTTGGTTATAACGTTGTTTTCACTTCCTTGTAGCTACCAAGTTAATAACTATTTGGACAGAAATTTCACTGGTTATGTTTCAGACTGTACGTTTTAGGTTTTGCTGGTTTTTAGTTTCAGACAAAACCAGTTAGCCATTTGTGAGAATGGAGGTATGTCATGGGTAGAACCGCTTGCTTTTCACTAAAAGTTTTGAGACTTTTTCTTCATTGTGCTTCTTAATGTATCAGGAAACTGTTGTCAGCAGACATTTGTAAAGTTCTTTAGTCCAGTAAATGCCTTATGTACCTAAATGGGATGATACATTGCTTCTAAGGAGATGTGCTCTGGTAGCTTACATGGCAGCAGCCCCTACCTTGGGTCTGAAGGTTCTGATCCTGTTGAAGAATTATGTGGGGTTCAGACCATCTTGGCGTACCAGAGCTGAGGTGCTTGGTTTGCGCTCAGAACAAGTAAAGAGAATCCTTATGAGATGTTAAACATCATTTAAGTATTAAAGTATTGTTCTTACGCTGATCATCCAGGATTTGGGAAGTATGCTGTCTCAATTCAGTTACCTTCTGCAGATGTGTTATGATAGTCTCTAATGGAATAATCACATGCTTAAAACTAAAACAACACGGCAGACAATAAATGCTTTTCTTTAACAGCTTCCTCGGTCATCGCTTATTTTCTTTGCATATGCCTCCATTTGTTTCTTCCTTTAATTGTTATATACAATTATTTATTTTGCCCTGATTTTTCTCTTCGGATCACTGATGTACCTTCATAAATATTACATTAGTGTACTGGTAAGGTGGTATCAGTGTGCTCACTTCATAGAGGAGTATAGTCATGAACTTCAGAATTGTCTGTTAAATTTGGATGAATGGCTTGAGTTGCCTCTAATAAGATTTTTTTCACAAATGCAAACTTTTATAGCACTTCATAGCAATAGTAAAAAAATTCCCATCGGTATAAGCTGCATTTAAGACCTTTCCTGCCCTGTTCCTCCGTTTGCCAGCCCGATTGCCTTGAAAATCTGCTAAAAGGCAAAAGAAAAATTCAGTTGGCAAACCATGAAACCATGTTCCTTTTTTCATGAAATCTTTTAACTTTTCAATGGAAAAAATTATACATGCAGTATTTTTTTTAACAGTCAGAATGGGAAGTCATTCCCACTGATGCCACAGAAGAAAAAAGAAAAAATGGGCAGGATCCAGAAGAGTGCACTGGTGGTTTGTAGCCAAAAAAAACCCCCAAAGTCAGGAGACATTCAACATGACAAGAAGTATAAAGTCATTCATATATATTCAAGTAAGCTGGCTAATAGTAGGGACTATTTGTGGAGGATAAAACAGAAAGCTGTAGGAGACATAGGTACAAGGTATTTGGTGTACTGCTTGTGGTACCAAATGGTAGATAAGTTGACAGGCATCATGAATGCAACTATTAAGAAAAAGGAAACTAGGAGGCTGAGAAAGATGTAACGAAAAGGAAGATACACAAAAGAAAATACTGGAGGGGAATTTGTTGGCTTTGGCTAGAGTGAATCAGCAGGTTTCTTCGTGCAGGACATGGGGACAAAGTCCCAAGGGAAGGCAGATTGTATGAAGGGACGGACACAGGGCAGGGAATCTTCCTAGCTGGAGCCTGTAGCAACCAGGAAGGGGCTTAACTGGCAGCCCAAGCAAAGCATCCTAGGCAGATAAATGCAATCTAAAGTTGGTGTCGCAGGAGCCAATTAAACTTATAACAGAATTGAAAACAAGATTTGCAGTTGGTTTCATATCAGTGATAAGACCTGGTGACAAGCATGATAAATAGGAAATTCTCATTAATGGGGAAAAAAGAGATATAATTGATATTATTGAAACCTTGTGGGACAATTCAGAAAATAAGAATGTGAAATCAGTGCTTACAGCCTACTTAAGGACAGAGTGGCTAAAAGAGGCGGAGGACAGTATGCAACGTTAAAGACACTGGTACCTGCCTTAATGTTAATTAATAGAAGGATCTTGAATGTATATCAGTCTACTAACTAACAAACCCAAGGGGGGAGTACTCATAGGGGTCTGTTGCAAATGGAGAATGAGATGCATTGCTTCTTGAGCACTTGGCTATAAAAAGCATGTAAAGAAAAAAACTACCATTGTATGGGAAGCTTATGCTGTAGATGAAATGCAGAAAATGGTGAAAAGTAATTAGCCTGAAAATTGCAAATGATAATTTTCTGGCATAAAATGTACTACATCCGGTACAAGGGCGTTTGGTTTGAGCAGCTTTATGGGAGCTTACAGTGATGAATTCATCTAGAAATTTGTGTTGCGTAGGGATAGTCTTCTCCATAATTTTCTAACATTCAGTGTAACCAAAAGATACTTCCAAACAGTGAAATTACGTATTGGAGTGTTCAGGAAGAGCAATTTTCAAAAGCAAAAGGGAAGTATGACCAAAACTAACTGGTAAGGGAAGTGTAAGCAACAACAAAAAAGAAGAAGGAGGACTTTTTGAGGAAGAAGGTAGTAAAAGTATGTCCTGTGTTAATGTCAAGACAGAATCAAATAGTATAGAATGACTGGCAACTAGTTATGAAGTGTGGGAAAATTAAAGAGCAACTAAAGGTCATGGGCAATTATCATGTCTGCGCAGCTATAAGACTTGTTGTTGTTAAGTAAAATGGGAGTTTGGATATGGTTTATATTATCTGAACGTTACTGGCTTATTCTTAGCTGGAGATGGCTGAACTTTTAATAATGATGTGGAAAAAGCAAAAGGTTTTGCAAAAAATACTTGTTCTAGGTGAAGCAGAGTGAAATATTTGCTTCACTAAAGGATAGTAAAATAACTTTCCGTGCCCCATACAGCGCTGCGGACTTGTTTATAATCTGCACCAACACACTGATAGCATGGGAAACCAGTCTGTTAATAGTTATAGTATGTTAAAAATAGCTTGCAAGTACATTTTGAATCATTGGAGTCCTGGAAAACTAGGCTGAGATCTTTGACTAGCTTTTTATTTTTGATAAATGTTGGAGTGCAAGAAAAATTCCATGGCACTAGACGAGTGCTATTATGTGCCAATATTAAAAAAAACAAGCAAAACACACACGGTAACTTGCAAAACTGCAGGCTGTCAGTCAGATTTTAGTCCAGAAAGGGTAATGGTAAAGCTGGTTCTGGATTCACAGAGTAGGTAACTAAAGAATGGAAATGAAATGAATTCCAGTCTCCCTGATTTTGTGGAAAAGGTTGAGTTTTGTAGATGCTGTTCTTACTAAGAAATTGGCATTATGCAGTGTCAGGAAAGTATATGTTAAATGGATTGAGACGATAGTTAACTAACATATAAGAAGAATTACTACTGAAGGATTGTTGTTGAGTGTAGCATTTTTAATGAGCACATTTTTATACCAAGCCCAGTACAACTGTTTTTTTCCCCCGGCAGTTTTAAATGTAACATAAATGCTAATACGAATTTGCTGTAAATACTAAGAGTGGCGCTTGGTGGGGGGATGGGGTGGCGCGAAGCAATGAAAATGGGGATGCTGTGTGCAACAATTTATTTCTCAGCAGAATTGAGATTTTGGGGAGGAGGGAGAGGGTTTGTTTTGTTTTGGCTTTTTTTTAATCTAAGCAAACACAAAATCTTACATCTAGAAATTTGGAATACAAGTCATACCTACAGGAGGAGGAGACTGTGTCCTAGACGTGATGACTTGGAAATAGATTTAAGCATTGTAATGGACAAACAGCTCAAAAGGAGTTCTCAGAAGATTATTTAGACCTAATTTCATCTGGGATGGGTAGGGTGGAAATAAACAGGAGGATAAAAAGATTGTTTTAATTTTGAAAACATCTCAGATTGATGGCAGAATGTTAGGTGTGGTTTTGACATCAGAATTATAGAAAAGACATTGAAAAACCTGAAGAGGTTGTTGAAAAAGCCACAGGTTGTTCGAGCTGG